TGCTGCTTGCTGTTTGCAAACCACAGAGCGCAGTTACTTCCTACAGGAAATATAAGGGAAGTAGCTTCCAGAATGATGGCTCTCTCCGGTCTAACTTCTCCATGGTTTTTACCACAAGTAGTAAGTCAAACGGCAAAGAAATAAGTAACTTACCTCATTTTAATGTCACAATTTAATTTGAAACCAAATTTTTCAGCAATTGGCTTGAAGACCTGAAAAATGAGATCGTTGTTACCTTAACAACCAACAGTCACTGACTCAGCAGCATATTTATTAGACACGAGTGCTCTGCGCTGAGCTGTAAGGAGGCACTATAAGCAGTGACACAAAAATGTGTAGGCTAGTTCCAGCTTTCAAATAAAATAAATGACACCAAGCTGAAATTAAAAGTTTAACATTTAATTAATCAGGACCGTGCAAGTCTGTGTGATGAAAATAAAAATCGCAACTCAGGATACTTGACCCCAATGGTCATTTTACCCCAGAGGCCACTGTATCCTAACCCTTCTCAATAAATGCACTGTAAGAAATCAGGGGGGTTGGTGAACAGGATTCTATTTCACCTTCTCTTTTTTTCTTAAATATAATGGACATTTAGGTTATCTCCTGCATTTATAAAAATAACTGATTAATGTGATAAGCAATATAATTCATATAGCAATTACACTTGAGGTTTCTAAAGGATTCACCATGAACACATCTAAGATATGACGCTAAATCTAAGGTAAACATAATCCCGCCATGGAGAAATACACAGGTGTGTACACGAAGCAACTCAGGATATATTTAAATAGAGCACACACAGGTCACCTAGGTTTGCCAACAGCGTGGAAGCCCTCACCATGGCCGTGTAATCGATCTGCGGTGCCATCTCGGCATTGGTCCCGCCTCTCAGACGCAGTTCTGATGGAGACGCAGCGAACAGGACACAGGGCAGGGACACCTGCAGCAAGAGGCACACGCTCCTGAGGGGAAGGCAGAACAGGCTTAGCTGCACTTTCCTTTTGAGGTCACACGAAAGTGATACACATCACCTTGGGAGGAAGCAGGGACCACTGGGAAGGCGGGTACATGCCCTCAAGTTTAAAGTTAAAAAACACTTCAGTGACCAAATGATAAAATCCTTAAAGACAGTATTTCATAGCAAAAAAACCACAAAACACTGGCCTTACATTTAATGGTTATATATCCATTTTTCCAATGGGGAAAAAAAAGAAAACCAAGATCACGCCCAGACTAATAAACTATGGTTCACAATTAGCTGTAAGTCAAGAAGGAAATACACTGCAATGCAAAGACTAAGATGACTATAAAGCATGAAAACAGTGGTTTTTCAGATACTCCATTTCTAATAATAAAAAGTAAGGAAACAGATAGGCTATACCTTACACATGAGAAAATTCTAGATGTAGTAATCGCTAAAATTAATAAACAACTAAGTACCCCAAACTCTCTACCCTAAAAGATAAGTGTCTTATCTCCGTTTTAAAATGTAAGGAAACTGAAGCTCGGAGAGGTTCAGCCACTTCTGGGGGGGGCGGTGGTGTAGGGCTGCACCTGAATCCAGGTCTGACCTGGCCCTAGGTGGAGAGAAGGGCCGCGTACCCCGCCGTCTTGGTGTCCGCCGCGTGGGTGCCGCCTCTGATCTTCCCGGGGGTGAACAGGATCTCCGTGGAGCCGATCTCCGCCCCCTCCAGCTGCCCGTCGCACAGGTCTCGGATCACTTGCAGTCCCGACAAGTGCTGAGGCCTTCGGGTCACACCGCGGCGTCAGAGCGCGCGCATCCCCGCGCCCGCGCGCACCCCCGCGCTCACGGCCCAGGGGTCAGACTGCGTGGCGAGAAGGCGGCGAGGCCTTTCCACGGGCGCTGCCGTGAGAGCTTCCCGGGGGGTTTAGGCTCCTGGACGACCGCCCTGCCGGCGGGCAGCACTTTAAGGGACCCTTCCAGACCCTCAGCTACAAACACGCACCCCAGGTCCTAGGCCCCGCGGCCCGCCCTGCCCCCCTCCGGCCCCACGGCCTG